GATGATGATGATGATGTATGTTCTGGGCTGCATTGCAATATTGATTGTTCGGATCATTGGTATCTAAGTTTTCCGCTGCGCTATCTTGTACTTTGTTAGAGAGGTCGGTTCTTGTTCTGGTCTGCACCTTTACAGTATGCAACAGTTTGGTTGGCTGGCAGATTCATGGGTTGGTAGGGTGCCGGCCCTGGTGGAGTGGGTGGTGGGTTTGGTGGGTTTGGTGGGTTTGGTGGGTTTGGTTGGTTTGGTTGGTTTTGTGGGGTGGTGGGGTGGTGGGTTGGTGGATTGGTGGGTTGGTGGGTGGTGTGGGTTTGGTGGGTTTGGTGGGTTTGGTGGGCTGGCAGATTCGTGGGTTGGTAGGGTGCTGGCCCTGGTGGAGTGGGTGGTGGGTTGGTAGGGCGTGGAGGTGACTGTTGTCCAGTGCCCATTACTCTTCTTGAGCTGCCCGTTGCCGTGCACAGTTGCTGTCGTTTTCCCTTTTTCTTCTTAAAATTTTTCGTTTCATAAAACGAAGAATATGATGCACTCTGTATTTTGTTATTGATCGTTGTTCTTCATTGTTGTTGATTGTTGATTGTTGATTGGTGATTGGTGATTGGTGGTGGGCATTTGTTTGTTTTCATCCTCAAGTATTCCTTGTTGGTTGTTGTTGTTGTTGTCTGGTATTCTTGTTGTTGTGGTTGTGCTGGTGGTGGTGGTGTTGTTGCGTGCGTTGCGTCTGTGGGCTCTTTCGAATAAATAAACGTTTGCAGTTTTGCACAAATTCGCAGGCATGCTGTTAGTCTGCACAGTGCGTACTCTTTCCTTTGCTCAAACGTTTATTTATTCGATCTGCAAACGTTTAGTTATTCCATCTGGGGCGTGAACCGCAAGTACGCAGCCCCTGCCTTGCCTTGCAGAAAGTTTTTGTCACCACAAGCAAAACTCAGAGGGCCCGCGCGGCGTGGGGCACTGGTGAAGAAAACAAAATTTTTTGCGGCCTCCGAAGTGGTGCGGGTTTTCGTGCTGACACCCGCGGGCCGATGCGTGGTGTGTACTGGTGCTTTAGCAGCCAGATGCTGTGGCCACTACAACTGTGACGAGCTGTTTTCAAAATCGCTGTGAGCCTGCATGTTTTTTATTTACTGGTTTACCACAGCGATTTTTACACCGTAGTTAAGCTGCACGGTAAACCGGTAAGACTTAGTTGGTATTACTTGGTATTACTTGGTAACCATGGTTGGTTGATCCTGTCAATCGCGCGGTTAAACTGGATGCTGGGCATTTCTCACAAATTCTCAGTCATATATGGTTACAGCAACCATGGTTAAACCACCATGGTTGTTCACAGCAACCATGGTTAAACCACCATGTGTTCAAAGCAACTGAGCTTCGTGTCGACTACAGTCAACCATAACCTGAACCACATGTTGACCATAACCTCTGACTGCGGCCGCATGCTGACTGACCATAGTTACGTAAGTGACATGATCGCCGAATAATGGTTTGACTGCATGTTGACCATGGCTAAGCCTCATGTTAACCATAACCTGAACCAGATGTTGACCATGGTAAAATATCATGTTGACCRTGGTTAAGTAAATGAATGGGCAGGGTTATGTAAATGACGTGATTGCTGTATGATGGTTTAACTGCATGTTGACCATGGCTAAGCCTCATGTTCACCATAACCTGAACCACATGTTGACCATGGTCAAATATCATGTTGACCGTGGTTAAGTAAATGAATGGGCATGGTTATGTAAATGACGTGATCGCCGAATGGTGGTTTAACTGCATGTTGACCATGGCTAAGCTTATGTTAACCATAACCTGAACCACATGTTGACCATGGTAAAATATCATGTTGACCATGGTCGAATATCATGTTGACAGTGGTTAAGTAAATGAATGGTCATGGTTATGTAAATGACGTGATCGCCGTATGATGGTTTAACTGCATGTTGACCATGGCCAAGCTTCATGTTCACCATAACCTGAACCACATGTTGACCATGGTCAAATATCATGTTGACCATGGTCAAATATCATGTTGACCATGGTTAAGTAAATGAATGGGCAGGGTTATGTAAATGACGTGCTCGCCGTATAATGGTTTAACTGCATGTTGACCATGGTTACGCTTCACGTGGAGCATTGTTGTCTTGAACCACAATGTGACTGCGATTCAATGTCACGTTGACCATGGTTAAAATACGCGCTTGCTGACTTGATCGAACTCTATTTTGGTCAAACTGGATGGTAGTTGCCTTCCGTCTTTCCGCAGACACAATGCACCCTGATAATGAATGTGTGCAAGGTGTCTTTTTGGTCCGATATCGTCATGATAAGGGCGTGTTGTGTTTGGGGGATGAGAGTGGTTCTGTGACTGGCTTGTGAAGTCGGATCTTGACGAGTTGAGTTCGTTTTTGAAAAGTGAAATTCTATGGTCAGCCTGTTAGTCTGCAAATTGTTTGTTTTGGCATTTTCTTTCCTTTCTAGTCTCCCCCTCTCCACCCCCCCCGCTCTCCCCTCCTCCTTCCTTTTCTGTGGTCAATTGGCACAGTCAATCTTTCCGCTTTTCTTTTTCTTTTTTTTTTTTTGGTATCACATCTCTTTCTTTTTCGTTGCATCTGAACAACCCGCCACACTCTCAGCAACCCGGTCTGTGTGCATCTGCGTGCACGCATCTGTGCACAGTGCCGGTCCTGATGCATGCATGCACAGTGTCAGCGTGCATGCATGCACAGTGTCAGCGTGCATGCATGCATTATTGTTTATAATACTTTATATATTTATACCATACAAAATATGCTTAGAACAACTTGAACAAGTATTCTAAATACACTGAAAATGAAATAATTCATAGACATAAGATTTATCGATATAAATAATATAGGACTTCTCTGTGCTCCGTCCGCTCCATATTCCTCCTCCTGTCCTCTCTGCGCTCCATCCTCTCCATATTCCTCCTCCTCTCCTCTCCCCTCTTCTCCACATATTCCTTTTTGCTGAGCCCCTCTTATGTCTCCCTGCTTTTTCCCTCTCAGTATCCTTTCCCTCTTCTTTGCGGTCTTGTTCATCCTCGTCCCCTTCCCCTTTATCCCACGCACACTACACCTCGTCCCCTTTGTTATAAGTTAAGATGTACTAAGACCAGGACTTTATCGGACGTACTAAGACCAGCATTACTGCCATATTCATTACAGAAAATCCTTAGGCTAGTGTGAGTATGGCCTCAGTGTCTCCGCTTGTCGATTGACGATTCGATGGATGGATGGATGGATGGATGTGGTTAATTGGGCAGGTTGATCCTCAAGCCCTTCTTATTCATGCAACAGGGGTTGGTGTGGGCTCTGGCGCGGGTGGAATCAAGCGAACCGGTGCTGGCAACCTCGCCCAATATTCTAGAAGTACAGGGCAAGGTGATGAGCGCAGCAGCAAAGCTCGATTCTTCATCTGCCGCGTCCGCTGGCAGTTCTGACAATGAGGGGGGAAACGTTGGCGGAAATGACGGGGGGGAAGAAGGAGAGGAGGAGAGTGAAATGGCGACGGTGACCTCTGCGCAGACGTCAAGCTCTGAGGCGGCAGACAGCCAAACGAGCGAGCCATAGCCATTGCCGCCACTTCAGCATAGTAGCCATCGCCAACGCCACAGCAGCAGCAGCAGCAGCAGCAAAAGCTGAGGGAGAAGCTGGTAGCAACTAGTCCATTTTTTATGCAATTCCCATGGTCCCTGGGCATTTATCCTCTATTCATTAAATGAGAGTGAATTTAAAGCCGCCGGCTTCACTTCTTTACGTCTTCTATGAATGGCTACAAAGGTGGAGATTTCCCACTTATCCTCCCTGATCTGATGGCTGTTATTTAACCCAAACATGCCCTTGTTTCATCTTTGACGCTCTCTACAATTTATTGAAACGTTGAAAACCCAAAAAAAACATTGTGTTTTAAGGCCCGGGGGGGGGGGGGGGGGGGGGGGGGGGGGGGGGGGGGGGGGGGGGGGGGGGGGGGGGGGAGGGGAAGTGGAGGGGATCGGGAGAGAGGGGAAATAGGCAGAGGTTGTACACTACAGGTTGGAAGTCAAAGACACCCTTTTTGTGTTCTTACCGCTCTGTGGAAGTTTATCTCAGTCTGCGTGGTAAGAATTGAAAGGAATTCTTATTTATTTTGCTGTTTAAACTTTAAAGTGCGAACTCAAGGAAAAATTACCTTAGGTAACTTCCAGAATCCAGAGTAATACTTGTAGTAAAAAGCCAAACGAGGGTCCCCCTTGTACACTAGTTCGGGGTACTAAGAGAAGGGCCTTTGTTTTGATACTGGGGTAAAAGAAGGGCCTTTGTTTTCATACTGGGGTAAAAGAAGGCGTTTGTTGTGGTGCTGGGGTAAACGAAGGGCCTTTGTTTTGATACTGGGGTGAAAGAAGGGCCTTTGCTTTGATACTGGGGTAAATCAAGGGCTGTCTCTTATACACATCTAGATGTGTATAAGAGACATGGGGTAAACGAAGGGCCTTTGTTTTGATACTGGGGTGAAAGAAGGGCCTTTGCTTTGATACTGGGGTAAATCAAGGGCGTTTGTATTGATATGGGGTAAAAGAAGGGCCTTTGTTTTGATACTGGGGTAAATCAAGGGTCTTTGTATTGATATGGGGTAAAAGAAGGGCCTTTGTTTTTATATTAGGGTAAAACAAGGGCCTGGTTAGGCAAGGGCCTTTGTTTTGATGCTGGGGTAAAAGAAGGGCCTTTGTTTTGATATTTGGGTAAAAGAAGGGCCTTTTGTTTTGATACTGGGCCAAAAGAAGGGCCTTTGTTTTGATACTGGGGTAAAAGAAGGGTCTTTGTTTTCATACTGGGGTTAAAAAAGGGCCTTTGTTTTGATAGTGGGGTAAAAACAGTAAAACAAGGGCCTTTGTTTCGACACGGGGGTAAAACGGAGATCCTTTGTTTCGATACGGGGGTACAACGGAGATCCTTTGTTTCGATACGGGGGTAAAACGGAGATCTTTTGTTTCGATACGGGGGTAAAACGGAGATCCTCACCGTTTTTGTAGTAACAAGCGAAAGAAATCCCCATGGCATTGTACTCTTCTGTTTGTGAATTACTCAGCATAAAAAAATTCAAAGGCTCACCTGGCTCAGCATAAAAAAATTCAAAAGGCTCAGCATAAAAAAAATTCAAAAGGCAAAGGTGATGGATGATCTATCCTCTTTTGGCAAATTAAAATTTTTTGCTATCTGGATATTGTACTGGATTTGGAAGGATAAGGTGCCTGTGCTTTAGTGTTTGGAGTTAGGACCTCGCCACACGGCACAGGAATCAAAAGAAAAAAGAGTGCACGTGCCCACAGATGGTGGCAAGATACATTTGTTACTAGTCATAGTAACGGATGAATCTTTCCAGTTTCTTTGGAAGAGGCGCTCATTTTTTTCGTGTCTTGTGTGATGCTTTTTCAAGCTGCATTCAACGTTGCGACATCAGTGACCATTAACATGATTTCGTTTCAGAATCGTTAGGGGGTGCGCTAGGAGTATTGACGTGAGGATGGGATGGGAAGGCAGCCTCGTTCCTGCAGGACGACCATGGCTGACCGCTCCTGGCGATCAATGTGTGCCTAGTAACTGGCCTCTACAACACCCTGGGCTTTAAAAAAAAAAAAAAAAAAAAAAAAAAAAAAAGGATCACATCACCCCACCTACAGAGTCATATCTGTCATAGTGGGGCCAGGTGGTCTGTTCACCGTTCGTGCGTGCCAATGGCGTAGATTTGCAGCCAATCACAGTAAAAAAAAAAGGCAAAGAATCCAAGTCGTTCACACATACAAATGACCCAGGTCGCAGGTCTGATCCTTATTTTAAAAGGATCGGCCATGAAACGGAGCCGTTCTCCAGCTCACGGTCCAGATTCATGGTCAATCTTTTTTTTTCCCCCAATTGATTTTGTGGTCAGCCAGGAATCTGGGCCAACTATTGCGCACGTGGCCTAGATCACCGGCCAATCTGAGATGGTGCTACTGGAAGGCAAGCAATAAAAGTCCCCACGTGCCCCCACTGTCGCCTGCCACTCACCCTGCTGCCGTCCGCCGCACGCCCTGCTGCCGCCTGGCGCCCACACACAGACACACACACACACACACACACACACAGAGAGAGAGAGAGAGAGAGAGAGAGAGAGAGAGAGAGAGAGAGAGAGAGAGAGAGAGAGNTCTCTCTCTCTCTCTCTCTCTCTCTCTCTCTCTCTCTCTCTCTCTCTCTCTCTTGTGTCAAAAAGATTGATTAAGGGACGCGCGGAACGCTTTTTAATGACGTCTCAAGATATTTCGTGATTGATTGACATGTGGACCAACGAGTACCCTCCGACTGGGGGCCAGCCTCCCGTATCTCCCATCCCAACGCGACCTTTTCCTTACAGTGAGGAAAAGACACGTGTCTGCGAGTGGGACGTACGAGAAGCGATCGCACAAATCAGCGGACACGAGTTCTTCCCTCAGAGCCACACGGCTGAGACCATCCACGCCGGACTCAGAACTAACCAGTGAACGACGACGAGACTTGATACGGAAACGAGGTACACGAAGTGTGCCCAAGCCTTTCCGTTCTAAACGACGGACGGTAGCCCGATGGGAGGCACGACAATACTTTTTGGATTGAATTTGAAATTTTCCCTCCTTCCCACCTTGCCCGCGCGCACCTTCCGCTGCGCGCGAAAACAATCGACTTGCTTCATCGGACCAACACGGGGGATCTCAGTTTTGTGTGTGTCCCCACACTCAATTTCCAAAAATCCTTGGCACACCCCATCTTGTTGTTTTTCTGGGCCTCTTTTCCGCACAGCTAACATTCCGAACGGAGGACGGCACAGGGCGTGAGGTTGGTATCGGAGCCGACACGTGTCGGTTCTGATGATAGTAAGGGGAACAAGCGAGAGGTAGGAGAGACCCTCCATTAGCTCGTCGAGATCGCCCAGTGAACAGGTCTCAGTCTGGAGCGTCTGCGCCCGCAACAATGGTAGATGGTACTAGGGTGATCGTTAGCATCCCTGCCCCCTTCCCCTTCTTCCCCAACCATACCCATCCCGAGGCTTGGCTAGAAGCTGTCGAAGCTCAAAACTACAGCGCAACTGACCTCCCCCGAGTTCAGAGTTCTGGCATTGCTACTTCGTTATACGTCGCATGACTGGTTTAGGAAACACACGTGGGTAGATTGGGAGCTGTCTCTTATACACATCTAGCTGCCCCTGCCCCTTGTCCTCTGTCCTCCGTCCCTTCCGCTGTTACTGTCCGTCGCCCTCTGCCCTCACACACACACACACACACACACACACACACACACACACAGAGAGAGAGAGAGAGAGAGAGAGAGAGAGAGAGAGAGAGAGCTGGAGTGTTGGAAATGGAGAAAAGGCCCGGTGAGTACCACCACTGCGAATGCAACATCCATCAACTTTTTGTCTGTGCAAGAAGCCGCACCACGTCATCGTGTTTGGCACTGTAATCGACTTATTGTGTTGTGTTTGGAAATTTCAAGCCATGTATCTTTCGTAAATCATCATATGTTAGTTCTCCGGAGAGAAGTACTCCTGTTTTTGCGGTTTGTAATTCGAATTGCAATGGTTGGGGGTGTTTGGACGGCTGTTCATCCAGTGATGGTATTCCTACAGTGAAGAAGAAGGCGGGGAAGAAGGAAAAAAAAGGACTCCATATGGTTAAGATGTAGGTTAAGCAATGTATGGATGGATGGGAAATTAGTAAAATTACCTGGCTGGACGGGTGGGTGGATGACAAATTACCTGGGTGGTTGGATGACTGGATGAATGGAAATTACGTGGATGGATATGCGGCTGACAAATTATCTGGGTGGGTGGATGGACGGGAATTTTTTTTCCAAAATTACCTAGATAGATGGATGAATGGGAAATTATCTGGATGGATTGGTGGGTGGATGACAAATTGTCTGGGTGGATGGATGTGTGGATGGATGGGAAATTATCTGGGTGGATGGGTGGGTGGGTGGATGGCAATCATCTGGATAAGTGGATGGATGGGATGGATGGGAAATTAGCACGGCATCGCCGGACCTGGACGCGGACCCGGACCTGGACAGCTCATGTCCGGGAACCGGACGCATGTCCGATCAGGTCTGGACGTCCAGACTTCCGGACAACTCCGCCAGACATGCATGATTCTGGACGGTCCGGACTGGTAAGCCGGTCCGGAAATGTCCGGACCATTGAAAAAAAAAAGAATCTGAAAAAAAAAAATGATACGCAGAATAACAATGCAAAGTTGCAAACCACTTTTACCTCAGACTCGTGTCAGAATTCCTAACCTTTGAAAAAAAAAAATAAAAAAAAAAAAAATCCTAACCAAACTTGAGTTAAGAGTCAAAAACTATAGAAAACTTCGAAAAAAAGACTTTAAAAACTTAAAAAGTAAGGAATTATTAATTCATTATTTGGGTATAAGTAATAAATTATTATGGAGATAGACCATGTCCGGACTCCCCCTCAAAAACAAACTTGCGCCTGAAAAAAACCCAAAACAATTTTGGGAGGTTGGCTCCTCAGTGGGGAAGGGTCCTGGACCCTTTTTTTTTGTTTTGTTTTTTAAGAAATGTGGCAGATCCTTACCGTTCGGACCAGACGTCCGAAGGCCGGACTGAATCCAGACCGTCTGGACGGCGGTCCGTCCGTCCGGATCGTAGCCATGGAAATTAGTAAATTACCTGGATGGATTGGCTGGGTGACCCGAATTCCAGACCTGACGTCTAGAGTAAGTGGAGCGGTGCCGCGCTCAAGAAATGGCCGGTTTCTAGAGTAGTGGAGCGAGACCCTAACACAAAGCTCAACCAGAGACCCTAACACAAAGTTCAACCAGAGACCCTAACACAAAGTTCAACCAGAGACCCTAACACAAAGTTCAACCAGAGACCCTAACACAAAGTTCAACCAGAAGCAGCGTCCACTGATTTCCCACCCCGCCCCCCATGGCCCCCCCCCTCCCCCCCCGCCCCCCCCCCAAGATTAGAAAAAGACACAACTATGCCTGTGACCGCTGCACAGTTTCGAATTCGCAGGAATAACAGTCCACTGCAAGCTTGGGCGAAGACCAGTTCAAAACTGCAAGAAAAACAGTGAGGTGGGAGCACGACGGCCTACCGGTTCAGTAATGGGCAAAAACGGGAGGTGGTGGTCGTGTTTTTTTTTTTTTTGTTTTGTTTTTTTTTTTGTTTTTTTGCGCCTGCCACGGCAGAGATGTCTAGGCCACACCCGTGGGTTGCTCCCCAGTTTTTTAGTAAGACTGAACCCCTTTTTTTGAATTTTTTTATATATACATATATATTTTTTTATATTTTTCATTTTTATAATTATATATATATATTTTTTATATATATTTTTTTATATTTTTCATTTTTATAATTTTATATATATCGTCAAATATATATATTTATATATATATATTTTTATATTTTTCATTTTTATAATTTTTTGTTTTCCTATTTTTTCTGATTTTTCGTTTCTTATCATGGTAATGTGGACTCGAACCTGAGAGCGGTGTAGTAGTAATATGATGGATGTAGTGGTGGGTTCAAATCCTGATTGGGCTTTTTTGAAGTGGCAGTATAGACTCGAGCCTGTGAACGGTGTRGTTGTTTTGTGATAAATGTAGTASCTGGTTCGAATCCTGGCCGGGTGTTAWTTTTGCTTTGTAGTRATGTAGACTCGACCCTGTGCATGGTGCAGTGGAACTAAGACAAGTWTAGTGGCAGGTTCGAATCCTGGTCGGAAGTCTTTTTTCGGTCTGGCMGGTTGAGTGAATACGAGCAGACTCTAGTATGWTCCTTCGATACCTTYGCWATTTTTTCGTAGTATAGGCTAGTATAGGTTTGTATAAAAAGGAAGTCTATAGTCTAGCTCGGTACCGACATATTTGACCCCTGATGAGTGCTGGTCTGGCAGCCAGCCGAAACCGGTCGGGTCGTGCCAACCAGATGCTTGCGTCTGGTAGTTTCCGTTCTTCACGATCATATATTTTTGAAATGTCGTATTCGGGATTTTCGACTACTCGACTCCTTGTGTTTTTCTCCATGTCCACCTTCTTTCCTCCCCTCGGGTGCCGTCAGTCTTGCATGTTTGTGGATGTCCTTTTGACTTGGTGCAGTTTGTTTTGCTGTCCTCACTTGATGAAACTGTGAAGCTCTATCGACTACAATAACTTCAGCTCACAAGGTAACCGCCGTAGAGGTTATACTACGTGTGTGTGGCTTTGCGTCAGATTCGTCTAGTAGCATGGCGTCTAACTCTGCTTTGTCGACATCGATTGTCCTTACATGTTATAACTGTGGGCAGCCTGGTCATCCGTCTCGGTTTTGTCCATTGCCTGATCGTCGTTTAGCTAATCCATCTATGTCTAATGCGAATGTTAATACTGCTATCGTACCAGCTCAAAGTAATGCCCTAGTTACTTATCCCGTGGCCAATAGTTATGGTGGAGGGGGTTACGGGTTTGGCTGCGGTGGAGGGCTTAAGCCCCGAGTTGAGACTCTGGAATCTACAGTTGCTGAGCTGAAGGCCTTTCGAGATGCCGAGGTGGAACGCGAGAAGGCCCGAAAGGACGAAGAAGAAAAGGTCAAAAAGGACAAGGAAGATGAGGAGCGAAGGCAGCGTGAGAAGACCGAAAGAGAAGAATTGTATTCAAAAATCAACGTGAATATCGCAGAACAATTGAAGCCGGTGCGGTTACTTGAAAGCAAGAAGGCGAGCAGTGGCGAGAATGACGAAGTTAAGAAGCTGAAACTCGAAGTCGAACGGTTGCTGAAGGCTCAGGTGAATACGAATGCTGCATCGACCTCGGAAAGTGAACTTGAACGTTTCCGCAGGGAGCAGGAGGCGGAGTGTACACGTGCCGAGCTCAGATTCGCAGCCATGGAGCAGGATATGGCCATACTGAAGAAAGCAAACGAGGAAGCTTTGTTGGCCGCTGAGCAATGGAAAACGGAGGCTCTTCGCCCTGGGAATAAGAGGGGAAGTGTAGCCGTTACTCCGTCGCCTGCTGTTGGTAATCGGACGCGTCCACGTGTCACCGTCCTGTGATCGCATGCCGTGGATCATCAACTTAGACGTGAGATGGAGGCTAATAGCGAACATCAAAATCGGGAGATTGAACTTTTGAAGGAGTGGCGTCTGCGGGAGATGGAAGGGCGTCGGGCAGCTGAGCTTGAAGTGGAAAGGCTGAAGGAAAAGATGGCGCGGCTTGAAGTAGAGAAGCGGACGCCACTTGCGTCGAATCTAAGAACAAGGTTGGATGGGGTGGCTGCATCCGCCGACAAAACCAAGGTTCCAACACCTCGTACGAAGGGGAAGGTGGCGGTCGATTGAGATTCTTTTGTGTCGGAGCAACGAAAGTTCATGAAGCAAAAAAAGAAGGACGATGTTGTGACTATGTGCGAAGAGGAAGGTCTTAAGTACGTTAATCTGGAGATTAGCAGAGAGGAGATCGTGCAGAAACGGGCTTTAGCGGCCTTCGGCAGTTTCGGGGGACCAAAGGGAGGTGTGATCATTCATGAGGTTTCGGACAACCCCGAGGGTGGTAACGGCGACAGTGCGGAGGACAATGATGAATCTGGCACTTCGTAACTTCTTCCCCGAACGCGGCGTCTGCTTGGAAACTCTTGAGTCTCTGTTCTTTTTTACGCTCTATTTCTGTTACCTTCTTGCGTTCTAAAGTGCTGAATGTGTTTGCAAGTTTACTGATTCTGTTGCTGATTAGCTTGGGGCAGATCGCATGGGGTAATAAGATTTTGGGTTTTTGTGCGGAGGTGCTGCTACAAAGCAATATTTCTAACGGTTCTGTTGTTTACGTGTTGGTGTCCCCTTGGCATCGGCATGTGTACGTGGGTAGTACTTCGAGAGATCTGCATGTGCGTTGGAGCGAACATGTATACCGTGCGTGTAACACGGAGTTGGTTGAGAAAGGACCACGTAACGAGCGTTTGTATCGTTGGCTGCCAAGGTGTGGGGTTCATCGTTATTTTCCTGCCCCTATTTGTACATGTTCTGATGTTGATCGTGAGACGTGTGAGAAGTTTTTTATTCGCTTATTTTCCCCTTCCCTTGATATTCGGGACAAGAAGCGGCGTACTCGGAGGCAGCGTCCGGGGTTGCGCGAAAGGTTACGGAAGGCCAGACGAAGTGGTTGCGTTATTTCCTTCTCCTCTTCTAGGAACTGTTCGCTAATTACCTTCTCATCTAGTATTGGTATCTGCAGTGTCGCACTTGTGTGACGAACCACTCCCCGACCCCGTGCTATCTTCCGTACCCTTTCTTTTGCTTGTATCATACCAACCCCAGGAAGGCCCCGTTTTGATTTCTTGCCTTCGGGTGCCGGTTTCGGGTGTCGCATTTTCCTTTTTGAAGAGTTTTTTCAACTACTGAGTTCTGTTTTTCTTTTTGCAAAGTCGGGAAATACATGGGAATCCGTGTGCGCCTTAGCGAGCGCACTAGGAATTGGGCTCAGTGGTTGGGAATTCCGGGATAAGCGGAACTTCGATGTGTCCTTTTTGGGTGCATGAATGTTCTTAGGCGCGTCGGGAAAAACTCTGAGAATTTTTGCGTAAATACGAAAAGGCGTAGGATTTTCTTTTCCCGCGTCGCACTTTCGCGCGCGGATATGGTGATTTCAATTTTTGAATTAGGATAGAAGCAAGATGTAACTGTTTCGGTGCCTTTTTCTTTTTTTTGTTGATGGCGCCATGCATGCAAAAGCTTCTTCCTCTCTGTCCCTCGTATCGCTCCCTCCCGCGCCTCCCTTCCCTTCTCCCTCCTTTTTCTCTTTCCCCGTAACTGTTTTTCCTTCTCTCTCTCTCCCTCTCCCACCTTGCTTTCGCGCGCCCATTTCCCTTTCTTGATCATCTGAATCTTGGACCCATCTTGCGCCACCTCTCGCGCCTTTTTCTCTTTTCACCCTCTAAGTCTGGCGTACGACGCCCGGTCAATCCCCYGATAACTCCCGCTCGCCAATCAGATCCGTAGATCGATAGGACCTTCCTATCGCGCRACCAATCTGATTGGTTGAACCTTGAGTTCCGAGGGATCAGCATGACATTCGTAGAGCACTCTTCTCAAAGTCTTCTCCTCCTGCTTCTCCTCTTACACCTCWRCTTTCCTGTCGCCTTCTYCCCCTTCTATCTCCCCTGGCGCARCTATAAAACCCGCAAGCGYGTCCGCAAAGCTCTCTTACGTTYTCGACTCCTAAGCCARCTTCCGGGAAGCAGTGRCTAGGCAGAGTAGATTGGTGCGAGTCGAAAAGTCCTGTCGAGCTGACGATAAGCTGGCCGGTTGCGCGCTTGATCACCACGACGGACTGTGGGATCTGGGTGAACCGCGTCGAGTTTACGTCAGCGGGATGACGATCGTAGTGGTGGCAGTTAGCACGTGACGGTCGGGATCGTCGGTGCGGGTATGATGTTCGATGAGTGGAGTTGAGTGAGTGATTGGCCCGGGGCCATATTGGAATTAACGGCGAATGCGCCTTTGTTGTTGCAGATTCTTTTTCTGGTGTGAGTGCACGGCGGCAACGCTGAACTTCCTTCTTTTGGATTGTGTTATCTCCCATCTCGACTCTCCTCCCTCAACTTCCCCTATCTTTGAATGATGATGCGTCTGGATGATTGTCTCTCCCTTGCATGAGAATGAGTCTGCATGATGTTTCTGTATGAAAGAACTTCTTCCGGAACTCTTCCATTAGTTTCCTGGGTAGTCCCCTGCTATGCAAGGACCCCGTCTTCTTGTCTTGTGAACGGTGGATGCGTGTGAATTGTTCAGCGATCCATTTTTTTGCCCCTGAGCATATCTCATTTTCGTACCTTCCACAGTGAATAAATGTATGGAGATCCGCGTTTCTTTATGTTGATTAGATGATTGTTGTTGGGATCTTGCTCAAGAATGCAAGAGTGTTTAGATCTGTAACTCTGTTTGCACTACGCATGCAATCTGCCTTATGTTGCACGACATCAGCAGCCTAGCCACGAGGCGGCCCTAAGAAACAAGGCGCCCAGGGACCAATGTTCTCTCTCTCTCTCTCTCTCTCTCTCTCTCTCTCTCTCTCTCTCTC